CGTCCGTTAGGTTGCGTTATAATTGCTGCTGTTTTTAAAATAATGATTGCTTGTATTTTGTATTTCATTATACACTGAGTATATAAATGAAATAATGATAAATAAATAATCAAACAAATAAGACAATAATTAAATATGAAATATAATGTATATTAGTTTAATTCCATTGTAAATATAAACACCATAAACTTTAAATTTCTTGACCGCTCTCATGCATTAATTATATATAGATGTATATACATTTGTATCAAAGAAAATATTTACAATTTTTTATTTGTATTACAGGTGCTAAGAGAAATTAAAAAGGTACCTATTTAAATTCAACAAATAATATGAACAACCAGTGTAATTGTTATGGATAGAATGAAGAGATTTGCCGTATTTTTTATTATAAGGTATTTACTTTTGTAGTAATGTTTTTTATTTCATATAACTGTATTAAATAAGAATCTGTTACATAATCATATTGTAATAACCTACAACATTATAATAATTAAAATTGGATTTGTAGTGGTAGTCTGTATTATGCATTTGATTGCGGCGAAACCCCAAGTATTATATGTAGTTTGGAGGCCGTGTTTTACATTTTAAACCAAATGTATTCGTAATAATATATTTTTTCTTATAAGAAAATGCATCTAGTTAATATTTAGCCAAGTAATTAAGGAATTACACTATTATTTATCAACAATCCATACGATTTTCGAAAAAAATAGCTGTACGATGTAGATTTTGTTAAACTTATTATTGTTATAACTTTTTTATTAGTTAAGATACGACTTTTTACCCACTGACCTTTTCTATTGGTAATATTTTTTGGATTAAAACTACGTTTTAACCGATGTCCTATCTCGTACCGTTCTCGAGCTACAGTCATTTCGATGTATAGCGCGTTCCGCCATCTTTGCCCCCCTCCCCCCAAGTTCTCAACCACCTGAAAAGTAGGCGACATGCGTATTTTGTATCACCACAGTCCATATTACAACTATCAGCAAAGATATTTGATATTACTTCTTTGCGACACTCACAAATTAATTCTACTTTCGGTAAAAAAATCTACACGAAAAGTCCATTTTTACATATTTTATACAATAACTTGTTTATTTATAGAGATACGACCTCGGACCCAATGACCATTATTGTTGTCCACATTTTTAGGATTACAACGACGTTTTAACCGATGTTCTATCTTTTACCGTTTTCGAACTATTAGCGTTTTAACGCATAGCGCAAACCGCCATGTTTGCCCCCTCCCCCCCACCTTATCGACCACTTTTGAAATAGGCGACATACGTAATTTTGATCACCACAGTCCATATTACAATAATCAGCAATAACATTGCGTACTACTTTCACGCATGCTCAACCCCCCTCAGCTCCTGGACTATATACCCTATGTTTCCTTTACAATATTGTCAGGATTTGTCATGAAGGTGTTGCCAAAGTGTTATATAATTTAGTTCCTAGCTGGGTGTATTCAAATTCAACGGATCACTTCTAAGATACAAATTTATACTTTGGCTATATTTCTCAGCTAAGGTTGAAATTTCTGTGAGATCTTATTTAGTTTGTGTATGTACATTAAGTAATAAGAAAAATTATTTGTGTCCATTATACGCAGGAGTCTTCTGCCCAGTTTTAGTAGATGATAATGTTTAGAGGATATGCCGTAGCATTGTCATGGTCCAGATTGTTTACAAAAAACAAATTTCAACCATTGATTATATTTGTTAAATCTATTTGTTTCATTGTGTTTAATCAGTTTAATTAAAACCTAACATGGTATATACCAGATATGTAATTGATTCAAACATTGGTAGGACTGACAAGACTCAAATTCAGACATACAATTTTTTACGATTTGTAACTTATGAAAGGTGTAATTTTTCAAAATAAAAACACTAGCCTAATGCCTTAACAAAAGTAAAGAAGTTGTTTGACACCAAGTATTGACATCAAGTACATCTTGGTAAAATCATGTGCATATGCTTGGTTATATCCATCATCCCCATAGTAAACTCTATAAATTAAAGACAATATGACAATGTCCAGATTTTGATTCATACCTCCGTCAATTTGTCACAGTCCCATGATTATTCGGTTGAATCAGCTTATATGTTTTATTGTGAAGGCATCATTTTTAAAGCTTGCAACTTTGTCAACACATAATTTAAACAGGCAGAAAAATTAATGAAAAAAGTACAGATAAACATTTAGATTACACCATCATGTATAATATGTTTGACATGGCCCGGGGTTGATAACAGACTGAAGGGCTACATCAAATTATAACTACTACGTACGTTATCAGTATCACTGATGTTATTAGGTCTGCAGTCAGTTGTTCTTGAATGTAAAACTTATTGAAGAAAGAATTGGGTCTACAAATTGCTCTTGATTTTAAACGTTATAAATTCCATACTCAGCCAGAGCTACATTGTAACATTTCTATATATCTCCTATCTTAATATGTTCATAGAATGGTTCGAGTCAGCTAAGTGCTGATTTCTGTTTAACTAATTAAAAAAATATTTATTTGTACAATTAGGAATATTTTTGAGATGTGCCTGTTTCAACTTTATGTATACGAAGTCGTAAGCTATAAAAATGTTGCTCTAACAACAAAACAATGTGAGCTGATTCAATCAAATGATTGTAGGAATGTTTGCTTTTATCATGGCTTTTGATGTTAATTTTCGCCTGCATCGTTGCTAGAATAATTTTAAAAATTACCAAGTAATGGTGTCGTTTATCATTTGTTCCTGACCAAAACAAGACTTTTTTTATAATTTGGCCATGTGCAAGTCTTAAATATGTTCAGCATTAGCTTTGTAGTCCTAATTGTAAAAGTACGAATGTTAAAGAAATTTACTCCCATCAACTAAACTTGTTTACTTTGTTAAAAGGAGTAATTAGTTTTCAATAGTTCCAAGTTGAATATATTAGGAGTTTGTAATATACTGAATGGTTATCTCAATATTTTCCCAGCATCATACTGTCTTCATAATTATAGGACTTCATAGTTTATATGTTGAACATCCTCTAACTTCATCTGCTCTGCTACCCTGTCTGTCAATACTACTTGATACTCTATGTTTTTAGTCACTCTATTTTACTGTAGTCTTGTAGATATTTTAAATGAAGGATAGCCAGGAATGTAGACATAGAGTTGAAGGAGTTGATGGCTATGTAAGGCGCCACATAGCCATAGACTTGTGCCTTGTGTATGTTGCTAAGATAGGAAGAAATCATAATTTATGGCAGAACATTTCTGTTGTGTTTGTGAGGATATTATTCTATTTATTTGGCTGCTCTCTTCAGTTATTTTAATGGTTTGTTTTAAATTATGATTGTCAATGTTTTTTCTATGGTTAAAACTTCATAAAAAGTATTTGTTATAGTCTCCATGATTTCTTTCAAGTAATTTATTAAAAAAAAATTTTAATCATAAAAAATTCAGGTTTTCAAAATTTAACATTAGTTACTCTATGGAAGATAGGAGATAAAATCAGCGATTTTTTGGACAGTTCATTCATTTTAAATTTTTCATACTTGGTTAGCAAACTTCTTAACAGTTGTTTTATTCATCTAATGTATTACAGCCACATAGACATACTCCTCTGTGTTATACCTTGCAAGGAATTCATATTCTTTGTTAGTATAACAGTCATGATGAGTGAAGCAGGTAGCTTTGGCACACACTCTCACACTCTTAGCATTCAGTTTATATTATAACAAACCCCTCCAATAGGATTGCTCTCTGTATATAGAGTTACAATCGTACGTAATATAATAATAAATTGAAGATTGCTTGACGTCCTCAAAAACTAAAATATATGACCTTTTAAAACGTCAGCAAGTATAATATTAAAACATGAGAAACATTACATTAAAACAAAGCTATGTTTAGCTATAGGTACAGTTTGTAATATTCTATTTATAATTTTTTAGTAATTAACGAGGTTAATTACTGTAGTGCTTTCAAAAAACTGTTTGGACTTCACATGATTACCAGTATCACAACAACAACAAAAATTACTGTAGATACACATAATGAACCTTTGATTTACCTGATCCTTCAGTGTATCAATGGTGTTTAGTTTTAGTCATAAATGTTTAGATGCAAATCCCAGTAACTCTTGTACTTATACTTAGTTTGGTTTTTGTATTTACAACTGGTTCTATTATTAGTCAATGTTTAAACAGATTCATAGACAATCTGAAGTTTTGTTTTTTGCCGTAATATATTGTTTTCCAGTGTAACATATTTTGTTGCTTCAGATAATCACCAATAAGCTGAGCTTTTTGTTTTGTAAATATAAAAAGTGCTTAATGAATTAGTTTTGTTGCCTGTAGTCATTTTTTAGTTTGAGTGTTAGTTGAATTGAATGGTAAGCATCATATTCTTTGTACCGGTATCAACAATATTTGCTTTAAGTCATAATACATTTTATATTAAATCTCTTGGACAAGAATTACATACTACTAACTCAAGCTCTGTTTGTTGTTGCAGTTCAATTTTTTCAAAAGTTTTTTTTATAACTATTCTACAAGTATCGACGTCTGCCATGTTGATTTTACTAATTTAGATTAATTGGGTTTTACAGAGGTAAACTAAAAGATTTCACAAAAAGTTCTCTCTATCAAACTCTTTAATACACTTGTGCTGTAAAATAATTAATCAAACACGTAATAGGAGTAAGGTGTAAGTAAAGGTCTACTGAAGATACGGTACCCTTATGGAGAATCATTTAATACAATATAATACAATCCCAAACTCAAATGTTAAACGTATGATGTAATATGGTACCGTTTGTGGACCTCTTGAGCCAATACGGTACTCTACCCAATAATGAAAATGTGTTGAACTATTCAAACTGAATAATTTATTTTAATTTTGTAAGTTAAACTTTTCAAAACTAAATTTAACCAATCTTGCTTTACTGTATTTTATATTGTTTGGAGTGAGACAGATTTGTAACAGTTGTGTGGTGTTGTAGATAGAGAAGGAGGTTCATATGATGAACACAGACCCAGAGAGCGGTCGTAGGAGGAGACAGAATATTCTCAAGGTAGTGTCTCGTATTTTCCTTCAAGCCTTCACACTGACATTCCTCGCAGAGTGGGGCGACCGATCACAACTCACAACGATCGTCCTCGCAGCTCGAGAGGTACACTAACAATCTTAACAACTAATTTAATCAAAATACACAATGTAGGCCTACATAGGCTATATTTTACGTGGATTGGAGTCCATTGTTTGACAGTAATAATAATAAAGTCGATAAGTTGATGAATTAAAATTTTTTTTTCCTATTTGCACAATATCGCAAATTATTTATTTAATTAAAACATAAACATAACTGTTACCAATCCTACTTTAACAGTTTTCATTTTTTATCAAAGCTTTTTGTTGCGGCTTCAAATTAGCTGTTGTCTTAAATCCAAACAAAACAATTAATTGTGCTGCACCCTGTTGATAAACCTTGTAACTTTTTAATGCTATTAAAAATCATATAACCAACTTGTTTAGTTGATTTGATACAGCTGTCAAGATTATTTAATTCCTTTTAAATAAATGAATATAAATGAATACTCAATAGGTTAACATGGGAAACTCCAGAGCCACTGGGGTAAAGCCAGAAAGGAATTTTGAGATAAAAATAAGCCTATATTTTAATCGGTAATATGAGCAATCATCATGCCAAATTTCAGTCCAATCCAAACAGTAGTTGATTGAGCCCCGAACAAACTAATATACAAACACTTTCACTTTCATAATATTATATTATAGAAGAGTATCTGTCCTTCGTACGGGGCTAGCATATAAATTAGTTATTGCAGTTATACTCATGTAAATATAACAGGTATCGCTGAGAAAGAACCATCAGGATTTATGAAATAGGTAGTCTAAAAGTAAAGTATGATTACAAAATGATTGCAAAACAAAAAGTGTTAATATTATTACTATTAACCAGTGTTGGGGAAGCTACTTTTAAAATGTAGCTAGCTACAACTACTGCTACATTTCCAAAAATGTAGCTTAGCTACAGCTACAGCTACAGTTCCGAAAAATTAGCTAGCTACAACTACAGCTACAATGAAATGTATCTACAGCTACAATTTTAGCTACTTTCCCAAAGACGTTACTTTTTATTCCACGCACATTAGGTAAATGTAAAATTAATTGCAACAACATTTTTATTGAACAAACATTTAAACAAGAAATGTCAGTATTGTATCGAACATTACTGGGAAAACAAATTATTCCTAGATTGTATTTAATTTGTTGGCATGATAAACCTAACATTACAACAGCAGCATCAAATAGTTGGGTGTCCCATCATATTTAGTAGCCTACTTATTTTTTAATATTGCATTATTTTTAAGCATCTTATATGTAAATTTCATTAAGTTCAAAGGACATACAACCAAACTATATTTTAAAAGCTCATTTTATTTCTTTAATATAGATTCATTTATAGATGTCTTAATCAACAATTAAGACCACTAAAACTGTAAAACAATTATTTAAAAATACTTTTTTGTGTTACAGAGCCTAGCCTATTGAAATTTGAGTTTATTGCCTTTCTTTACTTTTAATGTTAAAAACGACATTGCTGTAACTTTTAACCATAGTGATAAGTTACTTGTTCTATGAATAACACTTTTCAATGTCAAGAAATCGTCCTTTATTGTCATCATGCATAGGTTTGTGCTTCATCCTAGTTGGTACAGAAAACAGTATTCAGCAACTTATCCTGAAATCGGCTTTTAATTTAAACATGTTGAAATTCGTAAAGTAAAAATAACATGTAGGCCTACTTGGCTATGTAACAAGTTGGCTATAGTAGCTTTGTTCTTGCAAGGACTAAACAGATATATTCCTAATAATTGAACTTGGTATTCGTCTTAAACCATAGCATAGCCTAGGAATAGTCCAATACAGCAGCTGTTAGCAGGAGCAAACTATGGTATTTTTTTAATGCAAGTTTCATGTTATATGGAGATTTTTTCGTTACAATTATCATGTAGTCTAGGCATATCTTAAATATCATCAGGTAATTTCCTCTTTGTTAATTTAGTAAACCTTGGAAAAATCTTTGTAATCTAACCAAGGAAGGGCTTGTGATGATTAACCACAATCAACAGCTGAAGCAAAGGTTGATAGACCAGCTTTCTCATTATTTTAAGGTTTAGTGTTGGTTTCCATTAAAACCCAAGTTAAAACACTATCGATATAACAAAGAAACTAAATTGATTACTAATTTCCCTGTCAATCACTTGCAAGCATTCAATAGCTTGTCTTGTCACCGGTACCGGTAACGTTTAAACGTCGTCTGCATCTAGCGATTTTATTTTATCTGACAGTAATCATAGAGTAGTAAATTAAGGAAATGAGAGCTAAAAATGTGGATAACACTCATTTAATGGCCTCCATGTCCACACAACGTTGTAATAGGGAATGAAAAACTGCAACCAGCTGTATGAAGCCAAGAAAGTAGGCCTAATTTTTTTGAAAATCTCAGTTTGAAAGATGTTGTTTCACGTAAGGTTGAGGTTATAGTAAAAATCACTATCTCAAACAATGTTAATGTAGCGAGAAAAGTAGCTAAAATTCCGCTACAACTACTTTAAAAATGTAGCTAGCTACAGCTAAAGCTACAAAATCTTAAAAGTAGCGACGCTACAGCTAACGCTACAAAAAAAGTAGCGCGCTACTGTAGCGTCGCTACTTGTAGCGCGCTACTTCCCAACACTGCTATTAACAATATTATTACTATTAACACGTTCGCTACCGCAATAGTACAAAATTTGTCATTCATATGGACCAGCGTCGCACATATGCCACGGCTGGTTTCTCTACCCATAGACTGCCGTCGTATATATGTGTCGGTGTTCTAATGTTACCAAAACGCTAATATCTTTGTAACGGTCTATTTAAAGGCACTGAATTCTCTGCAGTGGTCTACAGGGATGTCTGACACACAACTGTATCACTTGGTCTGTGGATATACTGATTGGTGACGTCATATGATAGTTGAAAAAAACTGTTCTTTACTTTGCTGCTTCACTGTATGTATGTACGCTGTATATAGCCTATGTTGCATTATCCCATAGCTTTTATATTTGTTCAGTTATAAACTGTTTTTGAAAAGTCTGCGTGTACTGTTAACCAAGTCACTGCCAGTCTATGTGTAAGATTAAATTGTATACCTCAGTCCATGGTAATGATCGTGGTGTCGCATATATACGACGCTCGGTAGGGAACGTGTTAATATGTAAAAATATGTGCATGATCTATATTTTATGGCCTCATCCAAACAAATATAATTAATTTAGGATTGTTAACAAAAAATATCAAAATTATTTAAATAATGTCATTTTTTAATAATTTTCCTACTGTTTTGTACAAATATCTATTGTTAATTTTGAAAACCTAGAAAGAAAGCTAGCTTCGACAGCAAATACAGACAATCAATGGCTATAGAGTCTAGCTTGTTTCCTTTATCAATGTCCTTAACTTAAATTAATAAACCTGCCACATGTTATTGCTGAATAATGTATTTTAGTTTCTCAAGCCAGCTGTGTGGTATTGCAAAATAAATTCAATTTAACTGTTCGGCTTCCGCAAACAACATTCCACCATTCAACAAACTCACCGATCAGTAGATATTATAAACAACGCATTTGAGAGAAAACAGTACTGTCCTGCTGCATTTTTGGATGTTCAACAGGCTTTTAACAAGGTGTGGCAAGTTGGACTTCTGTTTAAACTCAAAACGTCTCTCCCTCACTCTTTGTATAACCTTCTAAAATCATATCTGACCAATTGATCTTATCAAATAAAATTCAAAAATTTGTTATCTAGTCTGGAGTACCTCAGGGGAGTGTCCTTGGTCCCTTGCTATATTTGATACATACAGCAGACATCCCTATGGTCCCCAACGTCACAGTTGCTACATTTGCTGATGACACCGCAATTAAAAAAGTGGAGGATAAAAGTCAACAAACCAAGTCCAAACATATTGTTTTTACTCCGAGAACAGAGTACAATCCTCCAGTATCCATTAATAATGTAGCTTTAACGGAGGCAGACAGTGTAAAATATTTAGGCCTAACTCTTGACAAAAAATCAAATTGGAAATCTCATATCTGGTGCAAGAGACAGCAAATGGAATTAAAAATTCATAAGTTCAATTGGCTACTAGGTACGAATTCAAAATTATCATTGGCTAACAAAATTTTACTATATAAAGTTATGAGCAAACCAATTTGGACATACAGCATTCAACTTTGGGAGACCTCGAGCAAATCCAACATCGAAATTCTTGAACGATTTAAAGCTAAGACGCCGAGAAGAATTATAGGAGCACCATGGTTCGTATCTAACACTACAATTACGAATGACTTCAAAATTAAATCAGTGAAAGAAGAAATTACAGACCATAGCAAAAAGTACCAAGAAAAATTAGGATATCATCCAAACAGTCTTGCTGTTAATCTGCTGGACAATAGTCAGTGTATTACCAGAATAAAAAGTCTTGTTCATGTGTTGGACCTGAGCTACAGATTTCTTTAATTCTTTAAATGATTGATACAATTTTTGGCAAGACTTGTTGATGAACAGGTGCTTGCTCCCTGCCAATTTTTTGTGTTAAATGTTTTACTTATTGTTCTCATATTCATATGAACATATTGTAAAATAAATTCTGATTAAAAACAAATTTAACTGTTCTAATTGTTTAAATTTAGATGTCATAGAAATTGTTAAGGCAAAAACATTAGGCCCAATTTCACCAAATTCATGCCAACGATGGTTTAGTTATTCTTCGGTTAAAACTCACTGATGATTTAAACCACAGTTAAGGAATTCTGATTTCACTAACTAAAACATGTCAAAACTAACGCTGGTTTCTTAAACGAGACTTTAGAGCAAATCGAAATGACAGTAAACTGTCATGAGACTGGAACAAATAAACATAACCCAGAATATAAATCAGTGTTTATGAGGAAATAGGTAGAAGTGTTATTTCTGAATTGGAATATTTTGTAATTTTGTATAAAATATTGTAATAGTTAACAGTTTTTTATTTTATTTTAAAGAATCAAAGAATCTTGACAGCTGTTTCAACTAAACAAATAAGTTGGATTCCACGATAGTCAATAGAATAAAAAATTTTCAAGGTTAAACAACAGATTGCAGCCCTATTTTATTTTTATTTTTTATGATAGTTTTTTTGAACAGTAACAAAAATGCTGTAAATACACAAGTACAGGGGATATCTATAATATGATTGTTTGTTTTGTGACAGGACATTTATGAAGTGATGCTAGAAGGTGTAGTAGGTCACTCCCTGTGCAGGGGAATAGTAGTCGTTGGTGGCCGGCTTGTAGCTCAGAAGATATCTATAATATGATTGTTTGTTTTGTGACAGGACATCTATGGAGTGATGTTAGGAGGTGTAGTAGGTCACTCCCTGTGCACGGGAATAGCAGTCGTTGGTGGTCGATTTGTAGCTCAGAGGATATCTGTCAGAACTGGTAAGTCAACAAACTAACATCAATTCTATGATATTTTTATTATTTTTAGGTTAAACCGCTATCATTTTAACTCTTGAGGCCTATGTATTTTCCTTTCTTTTAAGTTTGTATTACGAGGTGTGGCTATAAAATTATGAGACTTGTTATACAAGAGACAAATGGTGTGAGCCCGTAGGCTAAATACTATATTGCTGAGTTGCTTGACATCCCCCCTCCATTTTCAAGCTCGTTCGATGACAATAGGATGCTCAGTTCTACCACAGCCTTTGCTTATATTGGATTAGAAATTTTCTTATCACAAAAATGGTTGGTTTTAACACAATAACACAATCAAGCAACATGTCAAAATGAAATCATTAAAAAGATTTGTAACAGAAATAAACTGCTGTTAAAAAATTACCTATTATAGTAAAAATTACCTAAATTATAGTAACGCCCATATCAGCCCTATTACCGGCCGGATAACCCCTTTGGGGAAGGGTCCACAAGGAGTCAGACAAAATTCTTAAATAGCAGGTCGAGTTTGGTATCAAATTAAAGATCTCCATTAGTAAAATACAATGCCACAAACCCAAACTCAAGCAGACAATACTGTCAAAAATTACAGCTGTTCAAATATTCCTTGAATTTGCAATGCTCATTATAGGCTACTGTGAGGCACCTTCTAGATGTCAGATGAAAATGTTAAACCTAAGCATACATAGGTTGATATGAACATCACATTAAAGGTCTTTTATTAGTATAATACAATGCCGCATATTTCAGCTCAAAATATCAGCTGGGTAAAAAATGGCAGCCGTTTCAAAGATTAAATGGCAGATTAAAGAAGTTCTGCATCTAGAGAAAGCTCAAAATGTAAAAAAAACTTATTTTAATATTCAAATATACTAAGATTCAAATGATTTATTTGTCAAGATGGACATGCCTGTACACCATATCTTCGGGGTGCACAGAAGGAGCCTCCCCGAAGATTGTGACCATTACACGCTATGAACAACATCACAATCGGGCGCACCTTGGGCAACGCTGACATGTCAGTGGCAAATCCTTCTACAACCGGACGACTTTGAAAAATGAATCTGCCTAAACGGTCTTTTTCAAGGCCATAATGATCTCAATTAATATCGAGGGAATATCGAGAGACAAAGAAGTATTACTGTCTGATATGTGCAAGACGTACGAATGCGACTTCCTCCTTGTGCAAGAAACACACCGGGGCATTTTAAAACCTAGACCCAACATAGAGGGAATGAGACTGGTTCTAGAGAGACCTCATGATCAATATGGTAGTACTGTTTTTGCCAGGCCATACATTGACATCACCTGAGCTTCGCTTACTGAGAGGAACAATACTGAGATACTAACGGTCAGGACACCACAGTACAGTGTCACCTCTTTGTATAAGCCTCCCGAATCTCAGTATGTATTTACAGAGCCCGATAATCTATGCTATGATGACATTAATTTCGTCATGGGGGATTTTAACTGTCAGAGCATTGCTTGGGGATACAAAGAGACAAGTGAAAATGGGACAAAACTTGAAACCTGGGCTGAGGCAAATGACCTGCAGCTCATACACGATCCTAAGCTCCCTTGCTCCTTTAACAGCGGTAGATGGAAGAGGGGTTATAACCCTGACAACATCTTTGTGAGCAGCAGGATTGCCTCCCAGTGTGAAAAGTCTGTAGGTGATCCGATTCCCCAAACTCAACACAGACCTATAGTATGCACCGTTAGTGCTTTTGTTAAACCTGAAGTTGTTCCTCTAAGGCGCAGGTTTAATTTCAAAAAGGTCAACTGGACGGGTTTTTGGGAGATAATTGACAGAGAAATCGCCAATATCCCCCCACAACCTGATATGTATGACTCCTTCGTTAAGCTTGTCCAGCAGGTCTCGAGAAAAATGATACCTAGAGGCTGTCGAACCCATTACATCGCAGGACTCTCTGAAGAGGCAAAGCCACTGCTAAAATGATACCAAGGTCTCTTTGACAATGATCCCTTTGCTGAGGACACACTTCTAGCAGGTGAAGAGCTTATGTCAGTCATTGCCGAAAATCGCAGAACTGAGTGGTGTGATCTTGTGGAGAGTTTAGATATGCAGGTGAACAGCAGACGGGCCTGGAAGTTCCTCAAGAACATAAATGGAGATGCGACAAAACCAAAAGGCAACTTTACAACAGTTACTGCCGATCAAGTCGCTATCAACCTTCTTTTAAATGGCAAAACCTATGGAAGGAAATACCGGGAGCCTGTTGTGCGTGATGAGGCAAGTGAGAATCACTTCCTGGAAGAACCATTCACCATGTCCGAGCTAACTGCAGTCATTACCAGCTTAAATACTAATAGAGCTCCAGGTATTGACGAGATTAGAGTCGAACAACTAAAGAACCTAGGTAAAAATGCCATGCAATGGTTGTTGAGCCTCATGAACATGTGCGTAAGCCAAATGCATATACCAAAGGCATGGAGGAAAGCTCGTGTAGCTGCACTGCTCAAACCTGGGAAAGATCCAAACAATCGGGTAGCAAGGTGGGAGGCCACGTTGACTAACCCTCCCATACCAGCGAGGGAGGAACTGGCTCCTGGTGGAGGCCTTCATTACACTGTGTAGAAGACCCTAAATTGAATTATTGTCGAGGTACTGTACCAAAATGCAAGACATACATGCAGAAATGGGGTCTCTTACCAGACGAAGAAAACATCTTATGCGCGTGTGGTGCTGTTCAGGATCCTGGCCATCTGCTGATCTGCCCACGCCTAGATCAGTCTTGCACATTAGATGATCTTTTACATGCGAATGACAAAGCCATAACGGTGGCTAATTTTTGGAAAAGCGAAATCTGATTTCCGGACACGGAAAGTAAGTACCATATCTTTGTCCAAAAAAAGATATGGTTTGCTTTGGTTGTTTTTATCTATGTATATGAAATCCAATGTTTGTCCTTTATGCGTTACTAAACGACCATCCAATCGTAATGAAACTTTAGGGAAGTAAATTAGTACTATAGAAAATGAACAGTTTTATTAGCCACATTGAGTAATATTTTATGGTTTTAGGGTTCAATTTCCCAGTTGTCATAGCAAATCACAAAATTCCTTTCCATCAGAATTGACAGTTGACACGAAAATTATTGGTTTTGTTTGTGGCTTTCAAAAAGTCTCAAATATAGATAACGTTATCCCTGGTTTTTAATACAGTATATTGCAGAATTCACTGGCTAAGAAGTAGACCAACTACGTGTGTTGAATACTGGCTTGGAGATATAGCACGATCACCTATATTTAAGTAAACAAAAATCAGCTGTGATGGGAAACATTTTACGTTATATCTAACTTTGTGTTAAAATTTTGGGAATTTCACTATTTTCCCGCCATCACGGGATCAAGACCTTTAATCTGGGGGGGTTATCTGTAGAATTTAAAAGAAGCTGGTGGTGAAAATGACAGGTACCTTTTAAGGTATAGACAGGCCAAGGCTTATTATAAGGGACAAATTGAGATGGCGAAGAGGAAGGCTACTGAGTCACAAATCGAACTCGTCCCAAATCGCTGTAAGGCTGCATGGGATGTCATCAACTCGCACAGGTCTTGCACTAGATGGCCTGTTGAATTTGCAAGCCCTGACACCTTCAACAGCTTTTTCATTGATTCTGTAAGAGCTATCACTGAAGCCTTACCTGATGTAGATGTGGACCCCATCCAGCTTCTGGAATCTAGAGTGAATCCTCCACCAGATACTCTAACAGTTTTCCAACCTACAACTCCTCACAACCTTAGAAAGCTGGTTCTGTCTTTCAAGCCATCAAGGAGCCCTGATGTGTTTGGTATGTCCACCTATATACTTCAAAAAACTATTGATGCCATCGCCATTCCACTTGCTGCTGCTGTCAACGACTGCCTTAGTTGTGGCGTCTTCCCGGACTTTCTGAAGACCTCGAAAACTGTCCCTATTTATAAGAAGGGTGACCACCAGAGGCTTAATAGCTATCGGCCCATCTCCATAACACCTGTCTTCGGAAAGGTGGTAGAAGCCACCATAAAACCCCAGCTTGAAGCATTTTTTGAGGGACTTGACCTCTTCTCGAATATGCAGTTTGGCTTCTGTAAGGGCAGGTCAACCGTTGATGCTGTTGCAAAAGTTGCTGCAAGCGTGGAAAATGCATTTGAAAACCACCAAGCTCTCTCTCTGACTCTCTGTGATATCAGTAGAGCATTTGATTGTGTCTCCCACTCCATCTTGAAAAGGAAACTCCACTTCTATGGGATCAGGGATGCCGCTCTTGCCATCCTGAGTACTTACCTCGAACGGCGCTCGCAGGTCGTTGTAGTTGGTGGAGCTGTCTCCGGCACTTTGCCGGTTGATTTTGGTGTTCCCCAGGGTTCAGTGCTTGGGCCTACCCTTTTTCTCATCATGATCAATGATCTCGACAACCTTGGCACTACCCTCATGTTTGCAGACGACACTTCTCTCCTGTCAGCTGGTACGAACATCGATCAATCTTTGGCCATCTCCAGACAGCGTTTTGATACAACTGCCTGGTTTCTGGCAAACCGCTTCCAACTGAACGAGGATAAGACGCAGCACATCATCTGCAGCCTCTCCAGAGATCAGCCTGGGGTTCAGGATCCAGTCAAATTACTTGGATTTGTTCTTGATGGGAAGTTCAGCTGGATACATCACATAGACCAGACCACCAACAGACTCTCACGGATCTGTTTCCTCCTCTTCAAGCTTAAATTTTGTGTAACGGAGGCATATTTGGTGATGGTGTACCATGCCCTCTTTCACTGCCATGTCAGCTATGGTCTTCTTCTCTGGGGACACTCGCCAAAGGTTGTTGAAGTGCTTAGGCTCCAGAAGCGTGCATTAAGGATTATTACTGGGAGTGAGTATCGTGCTCATTGCAAACCCCTCTTTGCACGACTTGGTGTGCTAATTGTAGTTGGCCACTACATACTTCTCTGTCTGGTGCACGTTAGGGCTAATATAACAACCTTCACCACTCGTGTTGACGTCCACCAGTATAACACCAGGCAGCGCCATCAGCTTGATGTACCCAGGGTGCGACTATCTAGGACCCAGGCTAGTTATAGTGTGTCAGCCATAAGTCTGTTTAATAATCTGCCACGACAGATCCAGTTGTTGGACTTGAGAACATTTGAGGCAGTGTTAACCACTTTCATCAAGAGCTGGGCCTATTACGATATTTCAGAGTATTTAGGGGATGATTTAAGAAGCCTGTAGCCTGCCGGAAGTATGTAAATAGTTGTAAATATTGTTTTTTTGTATTAGTAATCGTGTAAAGTGACACTGTCAATCCCACATTGTGGGTAAAAGACGAAAAAGGAGGTATTACGGTATTAACAATTAATGTAGTAGGCCTACATTGAACCTTTGTACATTGAAGCTTTGTACACTTAAATAGATGGGGAGGTATAAAAAAAGCTTTAGCCTAAAATGTATAATTCTTATTACATTCTAATGGAGATTAAGTCAACTGTTTGCTTCTTTGCTAGTTTGCTTGTTTGCTTGTTTATGGATACATTTTGATATTTTTTTTATTTACTTATTTTATATTAATCTTTAACATTTCACTAAAAACTTGTTTATTTCCTTCCTTATAGCGTCAAACCTAAGTAGGCCTATTCATAAAACAACTTGATTATTTTCAAAGGGAATAAATTTGATATTTTTTAAGAAATATTTGAGTAAAAATCCAACCAGGCAAACGGGAATTTGCTCATTTTTGCTGGTTTTCTGTGACGACGGTGTTTTAGTGATAATGCTGAGTGATATTGAGTTTGCCTTAAGTCGTAAGATTATGTAGACAAAAAGGATAAGCCTCAGAGCTCAGAGGCATCCCTGTCCAAAAAGTGGTTTTGTTGATGAGTATTATAGAAGAAAACTGACAAATTGGTTGCATGTTGATACGATTTTATGATATAATTTTTAAATTAATACAAAGAACATTTTTTTATAAAGTTGTTATTGTGTATTTCAGTGACAATAATCGGTGGTGTGGTGTTTCTCATCTTTGCCCTATCAGCTCTCATCTTCAACCCCCTCAGTGATGACAAGGTTTCGTCATAACACCCCTGTGTTGCCGCCAGTGGCAGTGGCAACAGCTCTCATTTTAACAAAAACTATTGTTAGGTCACCAGGGTTATTTCTTACACTCTACTAGGTTTGAGTCTTGAGGTTTGAGTTTTTACTGAGAAAATGATTATTTATTTGCATCACTAAAGTGAATCATCCAAAAAATTATAACCGTTTCACAATACAATTAATCATTTAGCACAATATATCTGATTTTTGAAATATTTGCTATAATTTTAGCAATTTTCATTTAAAATTCCATAGAACCCTCAGTAGTTAAATGATGGTCAACTCTTGCAACAATGCTATCATGCTTTTAGGATATGTTTTAAACAGTAACAAAATGTGTTTTCATTGTGTCTGCTCAGTCTATATGAGTTAGTTGATTTTAAAATTTTTCTAGTTTTCAACAATAGCTTTCTCCACTTAATAGCACATAATAAATGTTACTCTACGCTTATTTAGTTTTGTCTTAGTGAAATTTTATTACTACCTATTAATAAGTTACGTTTTTTAGTGAAATTTGCTTGAGTTTTTTATCTCAATTTTTTTAGATGCATGTACTAAAAATAGTATTATGTTGTCACGCAGTACAAATCAATCTAACTTTTCTGAGGTAATTATAATTTAAGATCCTAGTTGCAAATTGTTGTTGCAGGAATAACATTTAATGATAAATGTAATCTATCCTGCATAATGTTTTAGATACTGTAGGCCTATATTATTTACTATCCTTTGGAATATTGTCTTTGTATGCCAATTTATTTATGAGATTCAGAATAAATGACTAAACTGTATTCAGAAAACTTAATAGACGTTTATTGGTATTAGGTAATTTTTTTTAATTACTGGCATTGCATTTAATTTTTGTTGAAAAAGTTAAAAGATAAATAAAATGAAATTGTTACATTTTATATTTAAAATGTTACCTTATTTTTCTAACATGTACATAATAAAATATACTTAGTATGTGTAAATATTGTCAGCTAACATAAATACTTCATCTTCACACTAACTTATTTAATTTAGGAAGTGACTGTGATTGGTATTTTAGTTCTATGAACTTCAAAAGTAATCTGTAATCTTATGTGTAATATTGTATATATGATAAGCTAGTATCATTTTTCTTTGTTAATCAGTATTGTGTTATTTATTAATGATGTTTTGAGTTCTATTAAACAATAAACACCAGTTTAAATGGCAAATACATTTTTTGTATTTAGTTAGTTGTTCTTTTTCATTTTCCAACCTGTGACTAAACTTATTTGACAAAATGTGGGGCCAGTTCCAACACTGGTTGAAAATACAGTAGAGTCCCGCAAACTCGGCATTCGATAACCCGGCAGTCTGGATAACTCGGCCATCACCTGGCTCAGAAAATTAGTGATTTTTTGAGTCCTTGTTAAACACATCGATGTATAATAACTACTCTACTGGATAGTGCGCTGTGTGGTGCCAAATCGGTCCGTGCCCACCATTCGAATTGGCAGGATACCGGGTATGAACCTCTCTGTTTTACACAAACATACATTCACTCAACCTGCTCTGCTACACTTATTTGTAAATATAAAAATTTCAAATTGATATTTTATTTTTCTGGAAAACCAGTGCTTATACCACTGGAGAGAGCACTGGTGGAGTGCCAGTGCTTTTTTTTTTAGTTAGTTTTTTTCTTAACATATTTTTTATAATTTATTTATTCAAATTAAAACTGATTATTGTTTTTTAACACCATTAAAAACATGAAAAATGTAGTAAGCGAGGAACTTTTTTATTTTTTGGTCAGGAAAAAGATCCTGCAGCAAAGTTTTAGATCAAAGTATGAATTTTATTTTTTATTTGGAGCTTTTTTTATACGGAGTCTGCTTGTATAATTTTTAAGCGATTAAAAATAGGCATAAAATCGCTTTGTGCGGCATTGGCGCTAGGAGCTCGGCCGGCTCAGCATCAGTTTACGGGATATGGATACTGAGTTTCTAGCATTTAATTATCATTATATTACATCAAATATGGCATTACATTACGAAGAATGGTAACTAAATGTACAAGCCTATGTTTATGCATTTTAATGCTTACTGGTAGTCTATAGTTAATTTTAAATTTCTTTATTCATTGAGAAGTAGCCTATACATAATACAGCATTTTAATAGTGTCAAAGATTACAATCCTACTATGCTACTAATATTATAAATGAGAAAGTTTGGATGTATGTTTGTAACAAGTAAACGCGAAAAATACTGGTCGGATTGTGCTGAAATTTGGTATGATGATAGCTCACATTCCCGATTAACATATAGACGCATTCTTATCTCAAAAGTCCTTTCGGGCTCTGCCCCAGTGGCTCTGGAGTTTCCCATGTTAACCTTATGAGTAATCATATTTAAAAGGAATAAAATGATTTTGTCAGCTGTTTCAACTATCCAAGTTGGTTCTATGATATTGAATAGCATTAAAAAGTTACAAGGTTTACCAACAGGGTGCAGTACTATTATTTTTTTACATTTATGACAACATCTATTATATCCTATAAAGGCCATAAAGGTTAAATTTTGTTTTAAAAGGCTTATGTGTAACTATTTTATCAACAGATGTAAATTTTAAAATGTTTCTATTTCGTGTTCTCTTCCCGTTGCAAAGCACGGGTACAACAGCTAGTTTTCTATATGTATAAAATCCAATGTATGTATGTTTGTCCTTTGTGGACTCCGAAACCGCTCAGCAGATTGTAATGAAACTTTCAGGCATTATTCAAGTATGGTTTGAATAAAGTTTGGTGCAGATCCGTCAAAAGGGCTTCGCCCCAGTGGCTCTGGAGTTTCCCATGTTAACCTTATGAGTACTCAAATTTAAATGGAATTAAAGAATCTTAACAGCTGGAACAACTAAGCAATTTGATTCTGTGATGTTCAATAGCATTAAAAAGTTAATAAGTTTACCAACAGGGTGCCACACTATTATTTTTTTTAATTTATGACAACAGCTAATTTGCAACCAAAAGGGGAGTGAGCGTAGCGAACGAACTTCGACCTGGAGGTGAGTTAGCTTAGCGAACGAGCTAACCTGAAGGCGAGTGAGCTTAGCGAACGAGCTCCAACCTAAAGGTGAGTAAACGTAGCAAACGAACTTCAACCAGGACGTGATTGAGCCATGCGAACAAGCTCATCTTGAAAATGAACTAGCGTTGACATAAAACCACATTAGGACAGGACGACGTCTGTCGGGCCAGCTAGTTAAAATATAAAATACAGATTAAAAAATAAATTATAAATTAAAAAAAAACATCTCTCCTTACAGATGCCTTCTTAATATCTAGTATTCTTGAGTTAGGTGGAAAATTCTTCTTGAGAATAAATGGCCATGTTTATTAAGAATTTTTTTAGTTTTGCTTTAAACTTTTTTGGATTTTTTTCATTTCTATTTCCTTCAGGGATATGTTAAAAAAAAACTTTTACAAGCAAATGATGGCTTTTTTCATTAAACTTTAATCTGTGCCTATTTTGCAAAAACAGATTTTTTTTCCTCGTTTCATATTTGTAAGATTGGATACATCGAATGAGGTTTGATTTTTTAAAATTAAAATTGAATCAAAAATATATTGCCCATAAACAGTTAGTCGTGAGTTGTCAATGATGATGTCTCCATGATTGTGGTCCGCAGGAGATGTTCAAGATTTAGCCGTGGCCACGGGTGACGGTGATGTGTCCTCATGATCGAAGCCCGCGGGAGAGGTTTAAGAATTAGCCGCGGTCGCAAGTGTCGATGATGATGTCCCCGTGATTGAGGCCCGCGGCAGATGTTCATGATTTAGCCGTGGCCGCGACAATTACTTATTTTCAGCCTTTTAGGCTTATCTAACGGCGAATCACGTGATTTCAATGTAAGAACAAAGAGACGCGTTAAAGTTACTATGATCCCGTATTGGAATAGGGGAGTGGGCACACGGGCATTGTCATCTAGGTATCAATCGCGCTTCACCCATCGTACTGTCTACATCATTGCTCTTGCTCATAATTAATATATACTCACACATTTGCAATTTTGCATCTAATAGTTCAAATAAACCTTTGGTATTCAGCGTCAAAATTATTATTATTACTGTGTGCATACCTTTAATTTTAGACCTCAATCATGAAAGTCGGTCGGGTAGAAGACCCAAATGAACTCGGAAAAGAAATACCAAATTTAACTTCCATAAGAAATACATGGGGAGCTAATTTCGTTTATGTATAAGCCAAGTGGGATTACACATAAATATATGCCGATGCTTGGTGGTAAATCTGTGCATGCATACCTTCAATTTGAGACCTCGATCATGAAAATCGATCGCTTAGCAGAGCCTAACGAACTCCAGTTAAATTAGTTAAACTCCAGTCGGAAAAGAAAAACCAAATTTTTTTAATATTTAAGATTTTTCATGTTAATAAATTATGCTTCATAATTTATTATCGTTTAGTTTACATGATTTTATTGTTAGGTTCTCATTGTTTGTATCTCACTGTTTGGTTATTAGCTTTTAGCGAATTTCCATTTAGGGAATAAAGCTATTACCGTAGTACTCATGGTAAGACCTGGACCCGGGACCGATTTACTTTTTCGTTTTGAGGTCCCTAGAGGCTAAAAACACCATCCGTTCAAATTCATATATATATTTATATATTTATTAATATCTTACTAATATTATAAATCTGAAAGTTTGTGTGTGTGTTTGTTGCTCAATCACGCATAAACTACTGGACGGATTGGGCTAAAATTTGGCATGATGATAGCTCACATTCCCGATTAACATTCAAGCATATCCTTATCCCAAAAATCCTTTCGGGCTCCGCCCCAGTGGCTCTGTAGTTCCCCATGTTAACCTTATGATTTTTCATATTTAAAAGGAATTAGTGAATCTTAACAGCTGTTTCAATTGAACAAGTTGGTTCTGTTCTATGATGTTCAATAGTATTGAACATCATAGAACAGAACCAACTTCAATAGCATAAAAGTTACAAGGATTACCAACAGGGTGCAGCACTATTATTTTATTTTATTTATGACAATAGCTAATTTCCAACCAAAAGGTGAGTGAGCGTAGCGAACGAACTTCAACCTGGAGGCGAGTTAGCGTAGCGAACGAGCTAACCTGAAGGCAAGTGAGCGCAGCGAACGAGCTCCAAACTAAAGGTGAGCGAGCGTAGCGAACGAACTTCAACCAGGACGTGAATGAGCCATGCGAATACTTATGAAGTTAAACGGGGCAAAGCCCGCGGGTACAGCTAGTATATATATATATATATATATATATATTAATATATTTAAATAAGTATATATTTATTAATATATATATATATATTTATATGTGTCCGTTAGCGTGATAACTCGAGCAAAAATCATCCGATTTTTATGAAATTTGGTACAAACGTGTAAACCTTGTACCTTGAGTTCGCGAACCAGCATGATCGGACTATGGGAACAGGGGTTTATGGGGGGTTTTATAGGGTAAAAATGGGGTTTTCCCATTTTTGACCCTACAAACTTAAAATTTAGCATTTTCTTTCCAAACAATTTTGTAGAGCTTAAAAAACAAATAATTTAATATATTAAAGTGTTATTATGCGCCTAATGGGATGGTCTTCAAAAGTTCCAAAATCGGAAGATCCAAAGAAAATATTGCCGATCGGAAGTTCCAAAATCGTAAGATCCAACGTTTATATTGCCGATCGGATGTTCCAAAATCGGAAGTTCCAAAGGTTATTTAGCGGGTCGGAAGATCCAAAATCGAAAGATCCAATGAAAATAATGCCGATCGGAAGTTCCAAAATCGTAAGATCCAAAAGTACAGTCATAACTAGAAGTACAAATTTATTTCTTAAAGTAAACTTATGAAATAGACTGTCCGTTTCACTTTGGATCTTGCGATCGTATGTCGGGTCAGAAGATCCAAAACACTACTAGTCAGATCGGAAGATCCAAAATGCTATAACTGTTGCGTCTCTCAGATTGAAGGCGATGAACGCTGTAACCAGCCGCGTTGCTAATGTCGGGGAAAAAGTTTAGTTAATAGGGTTTCTTAGGTGATATGAATTAGTTTTTTAAATAAAATCTCTTTTCACTGCAACGTATTAATAGTAATAGTCAAAGCTGCAACGTACATGAATATAATATGTACGTATAAAATGCCATTTTTGATTAACTTTGGACTAGCCTATGTTATGAATAATTAAATGAAACGGGCAATTT